CTCCACGGTGACGTGTCTTCTGCACAGTTTCGTCACAGCGGCCGTGTTCTGATATAAAAGCCTCTCTCTAAGACACGCCCCTGTGGCAGTCAGGGGTTGGAACAGTTAGCATACCATGATCGTCTGACTCTCCTTCAGCCTCGGGTGGGGAGAGCTGACTGCTGCGCTGCTCACACACACAGACACACATACCCCAGCCCGCTGTACATCCTGCAGAAAGAGGTAAACAAGAAGGAAGAAAAGGCAGAGAGCGGCGCAGCGGGGCAGCTGCATGTCCACGATCAGCTCATTGTGAAATGCAAAACAGCTCAAACCGGACCCGAACTTCAGTCAAACAAGACCCAACACTTTTTCTGATCTAAAATAGTTATCTTGTGAGCAGCTGCAGAACAGGGTTTTTCTGTCAGACTGTCGGAGCACTCCACCTCCTCTGTCTGGGGCTGGTGTGGTGTGAGGCGAACAGAGCTCAGCTGAGGCTGCGGTAAAGCACTCTGTGTCCTAATCCAGAGAGACAACACGAGTCAGTCCCAGACTGAGCTGACTTGATCATTTTAAATGAAATATGTCATGAATCATTATGTGTGTGTAATGAAACTTTACTTTTTACAAAACATAATTTGTTTAGAACGATCAAAAATGTTAGCTTGTCAAAATAAGCTAGCTGCCACGTTCTCTCATCCTGGCTTAGTGTTGCCAACTCCTGAGCAAGAAAAGTCCCTATTGGCTGTTCTAAAAGTCGCTGGAAGTCACTAGATGACGTCATCATTTAATTTACATAGTTGGATGTTTGCCAATAATTGTGATCTGAGCTATAGGAGAGTTGATGAAGAGAAAACAGTGAATAAAAACACTGAATATGCTTAGAACTGCAGTTAAACTTAATAAATAAAAATAATTTTATGACTTCAATGATTAGATCTACATAAATTAAATTTGTGGGAATCTTAAATTTAATCTGCAGTCTGTTGTCACGAGGCACAGGGAGGATGAGGTGAAGCAGTGACTRATCTGTGAGTCAAACACAGCTGACCCAGAGATTTATTTTACAGAGAAAAAAACATTACAGTAAATATTATATCCCGCTTTGTAAACCAGACAGAAGCAGTAGCAGCTTTGCGCATGCGTGATTCATTTGCAGCAGTCTCCTCTCAGCTCACTTCAGCCGGGGGTGGGGGTAGGTAGAGGTGGGGGGTGCTGCACGAAACTTCAGCAACTCGGACGGCTTTAGGAAGGGCCCCCCCCCCCACAGGTTTGAGATGCCTGTGATGACTCTGGGCTTCTGTGAATCACAAGGAACCTCTGCAACATTTTCAAGACATTTTGGAGACCTCCTCTTAAACGCTGTTTTTCCAACTGTTCTCCCAACAGTTGCAGCCCATTAAGATGCTGGCTTTAGCTCTCTAAGTTTGTCGCTCTTGTGTGGATCCAGGAACTGGAGGCCTGTACCGGCTCCATGTGGTCCTTTTGCATGTTCAGAAGCTGTGAATCAGTTTTTATCTGCTTGTAATTAGTTCTTTTTGTTTTGAGGCGTTTTGCTGGTTACACCACACTGACCACCATAGTGCAGTCATGGGTAGCAGTTGTTCAGTTTGAAAGGAAGTTTTTGATACAACAACGATTGGCAGAGCTGAAGTTCATGAAGGTTCCTCAATGCTTTAGGTGAGTTAAAGCTGTGATCATGTTGTCTTCTGTAAATTTTTTGAGCAATAGGCTGCTGATGGTGGGATTAGACAGTGGGATGATTTTAAGACAAACAGGAAAATCTATAAAATAGTACAATAGCAAACAGTATAACTGAGCAGTGGAGCAAGTTTACCTGTCAGGGGTCAGAATGTTAAGAGTTGGAGGAATAGAGTTAAAAGTCGTGAAACATTAAAAGATGGATTTAATTTTTGTCTCTTCTGATTATTATTTTCATAGAATGTTTTCAGACATATTTAGAGAACTGTTGCTATAGCTCACATTAAATCTACGAACTCTTGCATTTTATAATCTATGTTCATACTCCTCATATTGACATGCTTATTTATTTTACATCTTGTTTTACCAGCAGGTGGCAGCGGAGCCCAGTGTACTTTCAGATGAATCAGTTGTTTTTGTTTTTTTTAAACAACACAATCATATGCCTGAAGACTTAATGGATCACACACATAATGGCATCATTTGTTTAAAAAATAAAAATAGAAAATGCAATCATGAACAAGTCGGTCATGAATAATTCATGGCTCATTCAGTTCTTTTTATTTAGTTAAAAAACTGAATATAAAACAAATATATATACTGTATATATTATATATTGTATATGCCAATATATAATATATATATATATATATATATATATATAATATATATATATATTGGCAAATCCATCCATCCATTTTCTGTGCACGCTTATTCCTTTCAGGGTCACGTGGGTCACTGGTGCCCATATCCAGCAGTCACAGTGTGAGGGGCGGGGTACAGGTCACAAGTCCATCATAAAGTTTGGCAAAGTGTTAATTTTAATGTCAAGCACATGTAAACAAAAGAAAAGTTTCAATACAAACGTTTGAACTCTGCTGTGCCACACACAAACATCACTGCTGATATGGCAGAATGACGACAGTGTTTGACCTGATTACCGTCCCTGATTAGACAGGAATTTTAGGAATCCGGAGGCAGGTCTGGCATAGCTTACTGAAACTCATAAGATGTTTGCCCAGCCTGAGCATGAATGCAGTTTTATTCTGCTTCTGTTTGTCTCTTTTAAATTTTTATACTTTTTTACTGCTTGATGTGAATAAAAATAGATCTATTCATTGATCCATAAATCTCAGAATGTCTTTCTTTGAAATGAAACACTTTTTGATACAAAATAAAACTACTAAATGAGCATTGTTCCACATTTTTACCAAAGTTAAGAGACATTTTTGGTCTGTTTCATAGACCAACCTTTTGTCTATTWCAGGTTCTTATAACTGATTTTAAAACTGACAAAAGCAGACTTTTGCAACCCATTTGCATGTTTGCACATGCATGATTAAGATGCAGCTTACTGTAATCTGACATTATTAATATACAGTAACTACTCTCCCATTTCCAGGAGTCTACTCAGGTCAGTGAAAGACATATGAGTCAATAGTTTCAGTAATCTCTCACAGCTTGTTTATATACAGCTGTTGCATCACCTCTCTGCTCCTTCTTATTATTACTTCAGACACACCTTTGAAAGGGTGTCAGTTGCTGTTAACTCCAAACTTCCACTTTCTGTAAATAATATGAATTACCATCTGAATCATGTTTTGACTATTGGCTTATCCAAAAATATTTCAAGTTAAGAGATTAACCTGAAAATGTTTTTTAAATATTTAACGTTTAGTTCCTTTATCACAGTTTTATGTGACAACATATCAGTATAAAATAAATGTTTTGTATCTGATTGTTATTCTTGACATTTCTTGATATTTTGTTTTTATTTAATTTATGCAAACTGTGCACAATGCTACAAAAATTAAAACAACTTTTGCTGTTTCTGTAGGTGGCCCCAGATTTTAATGAAACCAGACCTCGCAACTATGTGCTTTCTGCCAGTGCTTCTGCGGTAAGAAGACACCAAACAAACATGAACATGTAATGTTTTACTGTAACTCTGATCTAAACTGTAACAGAGAATTTGCTGTGTGAGTGCTGAGTACTGATTGTGTGTGTGTTAGAGAAGAGAAACCTGTAAAACTTGCAGGATGGTGCYCCCTGAAGACCATGACTGGATACCCCTTATTTAAACTCTCTTTGGGGGTAGAGGTTTGTTAGTTGATGTCATTTCTAGTTGGTCACACACTGCACTGTGATAGCTTAGACTTCTGATATTGAGAAGCAGAAGACTTGCACAAAGAAAGCATTGTTCTGTTTCAGATCTGTGTGGTGTTGGGGTTCAGAGCAGTAACTGCTTTTTGTAGGTGTAGGAAACACTTTGCAGTGGTTAAAAGACTTCTGGACTTTATGCTTCGGCGCGTGTTAGTTGATAATACAACTCAGTAGGCATACTCCTGCAAGCTCTGTCTCTGGACCAAGGCTCAGACTGCAATATTGTTAAAGCTGCCATTTGTACAAGAGGCTTATAGGCAACAAGAAACTCATTTAAATATAATTTGCTGAAGAGAATGAGATTTTATTTGATTGCTGGTGTTTGGCTCAGAAAGTGGAAACTAAAGAGCAGCCCAATCAGCTGGTTCTTCTGCAGGAATTTATTCTCTTGTCCAGAGGCTGTTTCATCTTGTTTTCACAAACAGAGTGAAAACTGTGAGTACCTGCAGTGTTATCTGATGAATTTATTCTGCCTCATAAAGTTACATTTGGCCTCAGAGCTACGATGCTAAAAATAAGTTCTTGTTTCAACATTCAGATGTTTCACACTTTCTGGTTGTCAGTTTTATCAAAGTTGGAAAAGTTATCAGTTCTGACAATGGAAAGTTTGATAGTTGTTTCTATTACAAAAAACTAGTAATTGTTGCCAAAAGTTCTAGAAAACAAAAATAAATAAACAAATAAATAAATAAATGAAACAGAAAGTGGAACCTGCAGCTGTTTTTATTAAAATTCCTGGAAATTTCCCCATGATGATGAACAACAGCCCTGCTGCTCAGAAGACACTGAGGTCTCAGACTCTGAATCCTTAACCGTAGTTACATAACTCTGAGTCAGACAGGAGCACCAACAGCCATACTTTTGTAGGGAGWTTTCCTGCTTCAGATAAGACTTTTCACATTCCTGAATTAAGACATCAACACCAAGAGAAGTCTTATCTGAGAGAGCAKCCCTACATACAGTGTACTGTACTTCAAGTGTGGCTTGGCTCGGGAATTGCATCAGTGAGGCTCCAGCATTACACTCCTGTAAAACGAGTCAATGACCTTGCTGGTAAAAATACATTTTCACACCTGTTGTGTCTGACAATCGTATGCCTTCATCGATAACACATTTATCAATCGAGACTACTGTGTGTCCAGTTGATGTTTGTGACTTGTGCCTAGTTTAAGAAAGCTGAATCTATTGACCTTTTACACTCATTTATAGTTGAATCTTTAACAACTGATGTGATTGGTTGGCTGTTTTTTCCGCAGTGAAATATGAGAGCTTAATTTTGAAGGTTAAGACGAATCACGTTCTTCCTAAAATCACAGAGTTTACATTGGGCAACCTTGTGGTTTTAGTTGCGGTTCCTTTGATGTCAGAAAGGAAAGAAGTAGTGGCATCTCAGGACTGATGCATCATCAACAAAATGTTTTGCTGTTGTACAGCCTAAAGAGGCAAGTGGACTTCTTCTCTGATCAAGTTGATCAAGGGGTGATTTCCTTCCATAAATCACTCTCAGAGCTCAAACTTGGCTCATTCCAATGCAATGAAAGACCCTTGGGTATTACCAAGATTTAAAATTAAATATTGAAACTCTTCTTATCAGACTTGGAGAATCACTTGTTAGTGCTTCCTCCTGCTTAAATAGTGATATTCTGTATCTGAGAGATAATCATAATTTGTTTCCAACATGACCCTCACACAATGTATCACTTTGCCCAGAGCGTGCCTTTATCAGCACCTTATGGGGGACAGTGTTGCAAGAAACAAGATACAGAAATCAAGTCATAGCTGTAATATCCAGAACAAGCTAAATGTTTTGATGTAAAAAAAGTTAAAATAAAACAAAAAATTGTTAATTGAGTTAGGTGCCAAAAATTGTACAGAATTGTTATAGAAACAATAAAGAGTTTAYGTAATGTTTATCTGCACACGTTATCCAAATTGAGTGTTACCATGACCCTATTGAATTTTACACATCATAAGTCTCATTACAATGACAGGTCAGTCAGTGGCATGGGATAAAGGTTTCTTCCTTGTTGCTTTCCTGAGAAGGCATTAAATTCAAGTTTCACACCAGAGTTATGTGATACCAGTCTCTGTAAACCACCAGTGTGTTATTGTGAAGGAGGTGTGCCCCTTTAGAGAAAGGCCAATAGACCTTTTGCCAACTGACGTCATCACGCAAAGCACGCATGAAATGCGTTACCTCACTGCTTGACCTCTGTGTCACACTGTGACAATATTCTACACGACTGCAGTCGTGTAGAATATTGTCATAACTCTAATAAAAGAAATTCTTCAGCCCAGAACAGGGCTGTACATTAACTTGTTTAAATTTGTTTTGTGCTTTTATTTCTTAGAAAACGTTTCTGGACTGTGGTCTCTGTGTCTACATCAGTCACTAAATACAAACTAAAAAAATACAACAACTGACGTGTCCTCTAAACCAGTGTTTCCCAAAGTTGGGTTTAGGACCCAAAGTGGGGTCCCGAAACATCAAGGTGGGGTCTTGAAAAGATTTTCTGAATTAATTACATTTTTGCCTTAGTTGTTACAAAGGAGTGAGGTTAGTGTATTTAAAATGGATAAATGTAGCGTAAGAAAATTTGTATTCAATAAACTGAAGTTGAGCCGATAAACACAAATGTTAAATAAAATGATTTGTWGGAGGAATGAAACTATACAACACCAGAACTCTGGAATCTGAGTGAGCTTTATTGTCACTGAAGCAGACAAGAAACCCACACTGCCCGAAAAACAGGAAGTTCATGTATTTAAACAGTTTCTTCAATGCTTTCGCTCACCCCCTGCTGACCTACGGCTGAGTCACAGGCATTCAGACAAAATTCTCAGCTAATGTCATTCAAACGTTTAATTATGTGTTGTAAAAGATGTTTCGGACATGTAACTATACCTATTTCCATCAAGACATAATAGATTAAACACTGTCAACATTACAAAAAGGAGAACTTAAAAATATAGTGTTGTGCTTTTAACATCAGTACTAATCTCCCTAACTCTAAATTTCTTCACATTACTATAAAAAATATTGTTACTATGCCCATGTTTAGTTGACCTGATACAAATGTTCATCATCCAAAAATAGTTGTGGGCACAGGTCTCTGCTACTGTTATTTTGTGGGTCAAAAGCTGAAAAGTTTGGGAACCACTGCATTTTGTTCCCAAATTTGGGCTTGGGACCCAATTATGGGTCATGAAGCACCTTGGATAATCTCCAGGAATCAATTGAAAGGGTAATGTAATATTTTCCCTATAACTATTAAACACAAAATAAGAATAAATAAGTATTTATATTTCTGTACAACCTGTTTAGATTGTCAAAAAGGCTATGGTTTTTTTGGGGTTATTAACAAAGTTTGTGTACTCAGACCAGTAATATTTGGGGTCACAAGTTTTTGCCATGGATATTTTGTGGGTCAGAAGATAAAAAGTTTGGGAACCACTGCTCTAAACCCTCAAAATTGTCCACTAATTATCRTTATTATTTTTTTTGCTTTATTTTTGTTTACCTCACAGTATTTTTCTCTCAGCTAAAACTGTAGCAAAAGATTAAGGATTTCTATTTCATGTGAGAAATGTGGTTAACCAGAGATAGAAAGAACTCAACTCAAAATCTAAAAAAGTTGGAATGTTTAAAAAGTAAGAACATAATGTAATACAAGATTTGCAATCTCATAAACCCCTTTCACAATGAGACACAGGAATATATCAAATGTTTAAACTAAGATTTTGTAGGGGTATTTTTTAATTTGACCATAACAGCACCTCTTATACACATGAGAACGTTTTCTATTGTGAAGCATCCACTCTTCTCTTCACAGCAGTCTGAGTTGTCTCATTCTTGTTCATTGAATGATTCATCATCTTTGAACTGTGCTGATATCAAGGCAGATGGTCTCCCTCCTCTTTAGTAGAGAGTATGTGGGATCTATTGCTTCTAAACACTGTGATTCATGTGACCGCAGGACAAGTTTCCTCTTTTTCTCAGGCCATTTTAACGAGTTTTGACCCAGAGTGGTGTTTTTGGATGATTTTCATACATGGCTTCTTCTTTGCATGATAGAGCTTTAATGAGTCTCTGTGTCTTTACAGATAATACAGTGATGTTCACAATAAAATAAAAAGTGCTCTTAATTCAGCTCTACCTGAAAGTTCATCACAGCCGTGTTCTTTGAGCCTAGAGTTTTCTCCAAAAAAATCATAAAAATTTTCTGTAGATGATGAAATATTCAGAATGTTCCCAGTTTTCAATGAGCACATTATTCTGAAATTAATTTGATCTGTTTGATTTTAACAGACCAGTGAACCTCTGCCCATCTTTACTTATGAGAGATTCAGCTGAAATGCTCTTTTTACTCTACATCCAATCACTTTCTGAGAGTTTCATTAAGGGGGGATATTATGCAAAGCTGACTTTTTTGGGCTTTAAATCATGTTCTAATGTCATTCCCTCATCAAAAACAGTCAGCATGTTTCTTTGACTCATTCATAAATGTTTGAGAAATTGCTTGCTGGTATAAAGCACTATCTATTGTACCAAACTCCTCCCTGGGGCTCAGTCCCCAGCTGAGCTTCCTCCCCTAATGCATTGTTGTGAAAACATGCTGAAGTGGGAGTGTCAGAAATGGCAGGTTCTTAAAGAGACAAAGGCCCATTTCAAGGTGTTTAGATAGACTATGATATAAAGTCAAATATATAGTTTTATATATATATATATACAGCTTTTACATAACAACTGAAGATAACAGTTATTTGATTGAGGTATAGAATTGAAGTATGTCCCTAGAAAATACAAAATACACCCTCTTTAAAATCTGCCCAGTATTTCTTGAGATATATTAGACACAGGAACAGACCTGGGCAAATACACTGCCTGGCCAAATAAAAAAGTTGCTACCAAAAAAAAAAGGTCACACACATTATTTGGTTGCACTTTAGCTTTGATTACAGCACACATTCCCTGTGGCATTGTTTGGATGAGTTTCTGCAGAGTCACATGATTTATTTCCATCCAGTGTTGCATTAATTTTTCACCAACATCTTGCATTGATGATGGTAGAGTCTGACCTTCTCCAGCAAAAGATTCTCAATGGACTCTGTAGAGCCAATCCATGTGTGAAAATGATGTCTCATGCTCCCTGAACCACTCTTTCACAATAAGAGCCCTATGAATCCTGGCATTGTCATCTTGGAATATGGCCGTGCCATCAGGGAAGAAACAATCATTGATGGAATAACCTGGTCATTSAGTACATTCAGKTAGTCAGCTGACCTCATTGTTTGAGCGTATATCATTGTCTCTGCCTTAGGCAGCAGACCATGAAAAGTACATGTGCACAAAAATATTTATTGGTTACAATAATACAGGTTAATGCAGTCTGTTAYTTTCTGCCTCTGCAATCATGGCTAAGTCTTTCTGTCATGTAATTACATTTAAAGTATGAAAAAACAGGGATTTTAACAGCCTGAGTGTATTACTAATGAATCACCGTCAACCAAACCAACATAGTATCATGTGTTTATGACTAACTCAGACAACTTGTTTCTTTCTTGAAAACAATTGCCAACTAAAATATGCAATACTGAATCACAAACATTGGGAAGTTTAGTGTGGTGGACGTTRGCACACACTGGTTATTGATGGTGATAATTTGCATTTACTGTATGCGCCTCTTCATACCAAAAAATGACAAGAAATGAAACCTTGAAAAAGCAAAGCCCTTCTGCAAGAAATCCAAGGAGTCTAATCACTGCCTGAATGGGATCACGAACATTGGGAGGTGTGACACTTATTTATTCTTAGTATTTCTGAGGATTTGAAATACAGAATACAAGTCACTCTGATAAATTAAGAAAATTGTTGATGCAAGCAGTTTTCCTATTCTAAACTTGCAAGTTCAACAAACCACAGTTGCATTTGAGAAATATTGTACAAAAGGAACATTTCACAATATTTCTGTAAGAATGAAAGCTAAATCTCACTGACTAATGGAACAAAATATTTTCATATGAACAATATGGCATCATGTCTGCTTGGTCTTCCTGTTAGTTCTTATGTTTTTCTCTATTCTTTATGTTTGCTTTTCAGTTGTGGACTGAGGAAGTAGAGAAGGTAAGTATAATTTTGTAGTACTATTTTTTTCTCTCTCTTGTTTAAAATATTAGACACTCATTAGTGTAATAAACAGTATTTCACCAGGCTGTGACTGGAGGAGAGCAGTTGGCGAACAGCATTTGTGAGGGTATCTCCAAAATGTCTTGAAACATTTGTTTAGCTCAGTTTCCCTACATTAGTCTCAGAAGCTCACTTGTTTGTCAATTCAATTTTGAACATGTCCGAAAGTTCTATGAGACAAATTTTCAATCAAAAGAATTGCAGAGTTGTCACGTCAGGAGTGTCTAGAGTCCTTTTTAGTTTATTTTGTGTCATAAAGCACTACAACTGTGTTTGAGACCTGCAGAGGAGCTCTCCTTATCAGAAAATATCTGAGGCTACAGCACTGCTTGTCCAGGGCTGGACATCTTTAAGTCACCTCACAATTTGATTTGGTTACAAGTGAGTGGGCGATTAAAAACTGAAGGCTGAATATTGATGCATCCAAAATCACACTTGAAGTAAAGCCCTGAGCTTAGAATTTCTCAGATTTGAAATAAACTAAATTTTTTGCGCAACGCTGCAGCAAAAAGCAGTTTTTACTTGTGGACAAAAGCAGTTATAATACTGTGAGTACAGAGACAAGGTTCTGTGTCACTGGATGTCCATTCACCAGGGGCCTCATGTACAAAGACTTGTGTAGATTTCTTACTGACACAAGGTCAAATCAAGAAAACATCATACACACAAATAAATCCAGATGTAGCAACCTGCGAGTATGCTGGAAATCCAAGCATTTCTTTTGTACATCTCAATCACCGTGGGACTGACCTGACATGAGACTCCTCACGCATGAGTTTATTAACCTAATTACTGTAAACACAGAGGAACTCAGATGTTTGGCAAAACATAAATCTTTACTTATGAAATATATGAAGATAGTTATGTGTCGAAACCCACCTGAAATTTTTTGATTTGTAACTTGTAAAAATATGATTTGTGTACCTGTAAAAAATTCACCTGCAAAAATTAGATTTATGTATCTGCATAAAAGATGTGTATTTGTATAAAAAAAAATTAACCTTAATCTTCTGACTCTTTTAAGAAACATCTTAAGACAT